GCAGCAGCTCTCGCGAACGCTGGTATGGCCGGCACGGTGGACCTAGGCAATAGGTTGAACGCATTCAAAACAGTTGTTGCAATGATGGTCTCAGCAGAGCCCACCGCGAACGCCCCCGAAGTGAGCAGACCGTGATAGAAGGGTTGACCGTTGGGGAATGCCAAGGGGATGTACATGCACTCCATCGCCACATCCGATCTAAACAACTTGCACAGTTTACTACCGCTAGCAGGGTCGCCTATGGCCAGCAGGAACGTTAGTGGGAAACTGATTATAACGCCAATCCAGGCATTGTAGCCTGTAGTAGAGCACACTGTGACCAGAAGGGCAACCAACTCCGTGAACGACAGCCCTATAGCTGCACTCACAAGGGAACGTAATGACTGGTCGTAGTTGGCACCCACATCTAGGAAAGCCGTAACCAGAGCCCATACAGGTGCGAGAACCTAACAGAAAATCAATTCATACCACAACTTCGGAACTTCTCAGGTAATATTACTGTGATATTAGCCCCACGGCCTCCAGGCATAACAAAAACAGCCCAGGAACAGAGACAAGCCAATACACCCGTGTACGCGGCCGTAAGAAGATTCCAGATAGGTATTGATGGCAGTTGATCAAGCATAGAAAGACTATAAAGCCACTACGGAAAAAAGGTGTCGAGCCCTAGTGAACACAAACACGGATCTTAGAGAGAACTCGCATGTAGGAGCAATCACCTCAACAGCTCAAGTCGTCATCTAGGGGCAAGGTAATCTCTTTTTCAACACGACCAACCTCGCAATGTGATCCATAACCAACCCTGTAGAGCGATAATTCTATACCACGCCAATCCCAATAACGAATGTATATAACATGGTAGAAGCGGAGGCCACCAGAACTTGGGGCGTTGGCCATCGGATCCGACCTGTCTTCCGAAGAAAAAGTGACGAGGCAGTCCGAATCCTAGATGCACTGCATCTGTATGCCAGAACCTGGTGAATGACATACTCCACCTAAGCGTATTGATGCCAACTATGGAGGATACTACCCTCGACACTCAGCCTAGCAAGCCATCATAAGACCTAACACTGTTAAGTTAGCAGTAGCTCTAGATACCGCCAACTCCGATGAGGCTAATGTCGTTGCCCATGGGCCTTCCTCAACCACCTCAATGACCAGTATAGGAACCAATCCTACCCATAAACTCACAATGGCTAAGCTCAGAAAAAAATACAAGTACCCTAATAAACCAATCGCCACTACTACATATACAGCGCCACTTCGTAGCAATAGATACCCTCCAGCTTGGTGCGTCTTGCACGGCGAATGGTATCATAACTGCCAATTCATGTGTCGTGGATATAAAGAAGAGATCCCCGACGACCTACTTCACATGAGCTGAGCAATGAAATTGGCGACTGCCCACAACACAATACAGCTCACATGTAAAGATCTTCAAGGCAGTGTTGATGAAAATACAATCTTACCGAAAATTTTAAACAAATCAAACAGTGTATTATCCCGCATAGCCAGAAATACATAAGACTATCGTAGTTTATATCTGTCCAGCGAAGGGAGCGTTAAACGAGTGTGTCCTCAGCCGAGGAACTCCACCAGTTGACCTCCGCCGAGCCGCGTCGAAGCTCTTGCTCTGCATAGTCTTCAGATCAAAGGGATTTATAGAACCCCTAAGGTACCCAAAGTACATCATATACTCGACATGCTTCCATGCCTCTACAAAAACTCCCAAACTCCGCACCAGTGAGTAGAGATCGTCCAAGTCGCGTTCCTCCGTCGCACATGTACCACCCCCCATTTCTCTTCTAGCCTTCCTCATCTGCATCCTAGCCTCGCCCATAAGACGTTCAATCCTACCCAGCAACCCCACCGCCTCGTCGAATCGACCCGTTCGAGATTCCCACAGTCCAAGGTGACTCCCATGCTTCAGCGTCACCGCAGCCAACTCCTCAGCAGCAGTTCTCATATCCTTGGCGAACTGCGTCAAGTCCCCCAAGGCCCGTTCAAGCTCAGGGGTAAGACCCTTCCAACTGGGCCGGAAAGAGGCCGCCGCACTAACTATCACCATGGTCCTTCTGGCCAGGCGATCCAGTAACGGCTGAGCCGCTATGATATGGGATGCATTCACTCGACGTTCCTCTGACCTAAAGTACCCACGAAGGAGCGAGAACAGCTTAGTCTCGACATTAGCGTCCATAACCTGAGCCCATCTCTCATCGTGTTTTCTCATCAGCTCACCACCAATACTAATAACCCGCTTATCCACAGAGCCTTGCAGTGGCACATCTTCTGAGCTCGCCGTCTGTATCCTGTCCACCGACTCAGCCACAGTGTCACCAATCATCTGCAAACTACGTGCCGTGGCTCGAGTCAGTCGACCATAGGCGAATACTGGGAACACTAAGGTCGATATCAACGTCGCCAGTACGACACCAGACAACGTCAAAATTGCCCTGTAGAAGGAGCGTAAAATCATATCTCCCTCGCCAAGATGACCATCAGTTCCAGCAAGAAGGCCAACAATCGCCCAAGTGAATGCAAATACCAAACCAGAGTAGTCGATTTTCGGATGACATTTCATCAGCTTACCCATAAAGGACACCACGAATAGCTCCACAAAGAATGCCGCATCGTTATAGGGATGTACGGAGACCGCTATAACCGCTAATATCCCAGCCAGAACAGTACCCAATATTCTCCTACTTCCCTTCACCAGAGACGCACCCGGTGTCGGCAAGAAGCAGAAAACACATGGTAATAGCATCCAGAGGCCATACTGCTGGACTTCATCCAGTGCCTCTCCGATGCCCAAGATGATCCATGCCGCTATACAAGCCCCCAAACCGGAACGAATAGGAAATGCCAGTCGGAATCTCCATGGCGTTGGAGGGTTCAAAGGCTCAAACAACGGCCGATTTATCCACTCCCTTACCTTAAACCGCACCAACTCCAAACCCGTTCGGATTTTTGACGGCGGGTTCTCAACTCTGAATACAAAATCGCCCAGTAGTCCAGCGAACCGGGCAATCTCCCGAGTGGCGAATCCAAACCTCGCGAGCTCCGACTCGGCAATAGGTCTGGCTCGGCCATCCACTCGTGCCTCCATGTAGTTAGCCGTAGCTTCCGTTACTCTATGACGTAACTGCTTTGACAACTCGTTCAAGTCAGCCTTGACAACCCTGTCATCAGAGCCAGCACGTAGTCGGCAAATGACTTCAACGCGTATCATGTTCAGTGTGTAGTCTAGAGGCTGCCAGAGGTACTCTACAGCGGACTCACTATAGGCGGCGAATTTCAATGAATGCCTGACAGTGCCCAGGGATGACACCATAGAAAAGATAATAGCACGCAGGTGCAGATCTGGTGTACGTAGTGCAGCCATGTACGCCTTATTAACTTGTGTCCACAAATAGTCCAGCTCTTGCTCCTGCACCTCGCCAACAGGAGCAACCGCTGTGGTCTCTTGAAAATAAGCAGCGATAGTGTGGGCGAACATCGGTATTGGCGGCGGACCATTTTGAGGTAGAAGCCGGAGTGACCAGAGGATCATGGTTCCAATCAAAGGAATCGAGGTTCCTACCGTGTACGCGAGCGCTGCTGTGAGTGCGACCCAATAAGGCCTATCACCACCAAAAACGACCACAATGAGGAGCAGCAAGAGAGCCTTATCCCCCCTATAGATGGAGCTCAGCTTGCAGTAGGTCACATTGGACTGCTCAGCCAGACATACCAGGATCGCGAAGGGAACGGCAACCAGTACGCCAATGTAAGGATTGTAATTGCCGTGGTTGGCGGCCGTTACGAAGGCCACTACTAGACACCCCCAACCTGCGCCGTACCACGAGGCTATGATGGTCTTGAAACTCCATTCAATGGCATCTGCTACGGTGAGTTGGGCTGTGATGATCGATATCACCAAACCGAGAATCTGATCGAAAAACCATAAACTCACGGGAGAATTAGTGGGCAGATCCTCACTAGAAAGTTAGCCGAGAAGACTTCAGTGACGGCAGGGGTAAAGATCATGAACGAGGTACAGCAGGTGACCACTCCGCAGAAGAGAGCCAGCCAGAGGTCAAAGGCAGGTACGGCGGGGGGACGTAGGGGATTCTTATCAGTCATTTGCTGGAGAGTAAAGTCCCCTCAAAATTGTCAACTACAGAGACTAACTTGAAAGTGGAAGTCGCCATACCGAGACAGCGTACTTTTCAATACGAGGTCGACCCTGTCTCCTGAACTGCGCAAGAATAGACTTCCAGAATATATATATTGAGTGAATGTGGTAGTGTACGAGCGAGCTATGGCATGCCACATGGCCTATACGTCATAGGGTGACTCCGCAAGACGAGACGATGCTTTACAGGTTCGGTAATGAAAAAGCAGAGAAATGTCAAGATCTCAAGAATATACTAGTGGTCCCCGGTTCGAACCGACCATGCTACTTTTTTTCTGGCAATTTTCCTTCGATCATGCGCTCTAATTTATCCCTCGCCGTCAAGGCTCAGTTTGACGTGAACATTTCACTCAGTCACAATACACAGTTGTCTACTATCCTTTTTGTGGCGAGGGGGTCTCATATATTGATAGGGTTATTACTATCGCCTCATACATCAGGAGCCTGTGTGGTTCAGAATGACTCAAACGATACTGTCGTGGACCGCTGACGAGGGGTGTTCCTCCATTGTCCATCTCTGTATAGCCTGTACTGGCCAGCCCTCACCGTGTTGCCGTTCAGACATTCACATGTTGATTGTATTAGTGGTGGCCACCTCTTCTGAGGGAGTGAGCTAGCATGAGCATTTCTAGAATTTGAACAGATCGCTTCTTATGCGATGGATCTCTCTGGTACAGGAGTCGCAAGCTATTCTACGGTGTTTACTTCCAGTCTGTAATAGAGATTCTCTTTCAGCACTAGCTCTTAGCTTGGTTAATAACGATTCTCAGGAACGTAGTAGTTTTGGTTGCAGTAGGGGTGGATCGGGACTCGAGTTCTTGAGGGAAACAGGGGCATTCCGATTTGCAGAAAAAGAGCGATGTATAAGCACTCTGGGTGTATCAGAACGGCCCTTGAGTCCCCTTCACTCAGGAAGCATAAACTTGCTCTGGCTTAACAGTAAAGTCACACTCTGCCGCTACTTCGTACAATGTAATCCTCACCATCGACCAACGAGCTCCTAACTACCAGGGTGAAAAGACGAGGAAAGAGGCCCTGCCGACTAGTTTAAGTCACTTAAATTAAGTGTCGGCCTGTCACTAACTGGAACGGCTATCCGCCTATTACAATAGTGCTGGTGAGCTGAGGTTCAGTTGATTAGACGGCCTTCTA